CATAACATTTCTAATCCACTGTTCAAATCAGTTGAATATTGTTGCAGCTTTATCTGTCTCCTGCTTGAATGGTTATGATGCCTTCATGCAAAACTCTTGTTGGACTCTAAAGCTACTGTTCAAGCATCAACGAATAGCAAGAAAATACTTCTCACTTGTCTTGGAATAACAAATAAGCCATTCAAACAAAAAAAATACATGCACCAAAATTATTTGAAGCAACTTTAAGAGGTGTTTTCTTTTCCTCTTTCTATTGACTGCAGAGTATGAGGGAGGCATTGCATGGAGTAATCCCATGACCAAAAATTACATTATCGTGTTTAATTTCAAAGAAAGGCTAAAGGACAACTTCTTAGGGACCTTTATATGCCACAAGATGTGTTTAAGTACCTAATGAGATAAAAGTGATAGAGGAAAAATAAATAGATGCTCAAATCTCATTAAAAATCAAAGGCAGTTAGGTACCTCTATAGCTAAAGTACTCCAGAAAGCCCAGTAAGGTTTTCTCTTTCTCTTTCACTCCTTAAATTCCTTGGATCGCCAGGTCTTCTGTTTTTGTCCACTTTAAAAATCCCAGCTGAGAAGAACATGTCTTGGGAGACGAATGCCCCCTTTCAAATAGGATTTTGGCACAGGCACTTGAAAATGTGCCAGTGCCAAAGTCACCTAAAATTGAAAGGATTTTACATCTGGAAGGGAGTCTCGTAACTATAAGAGGGAGCAGACTGGCTCTGAGCTGAAAACAAATTACTAATCCTTCACATGCTTTTTTTTTTCCAGGTGGCTATCTCTCTGTCCTTTATAAAAGCCACTCTCCGAATCCTCTTTCCCAATAAGTCCATTTGGTTTCTCCTTTCTCCCTGCTATGGGACTCTCTCACTCATTGCAAAATACCTCTCTTCCCTCTCCACATTGCTCAACTCTTTCTAGGGAAGTGTGACTCAATCTTCTCGCCTTCCTTCCTTCCTTCCCAAGTGTCCCAGCCTGGCTCCCATGTTGGGCCCAGCTACGCTGCCCTTACCCAGAAACAGGTGCCTGGAACTGAAACTACAGATAAATCATATTACCATCCCTTTTCCCTTTGAATCGCCAAATTTTTTCCAAGGACTTTTGCATAAGCCATTGCTAATCATGGGATATACAACATTCTTGTGTGACAGAAGTTCTCAGTGCTCTGCAGAGAGTGAAGCTCGCGGTACACGTCAGATAGCACGAGGCACCCACCCGGTGCCCTGCTTTTGGGTAACTTTTCCGCAATACGGCTAAGTAAAAGGGGAGGTGAGGGGAAGAGCTGGTAGTTCAGTGACGTTGAAACGCTCTGGATTCCTTGCAGTAAAAGTGGATTCCAGTTAAAACAGAAAGGGGAGGTAAACCACTGAATTGCACTAGTGCGTACACATAGGGTAAAACGTAGAACCTTCTAAGGGCTTAAAAGGTCATCTCCAAACCAATTTGAGTAAATTAATCAAGGAGTAATGTCTTAGTGGTGTTAGAAGAGCCGAGAGGAAATTATTACCCTGAATTATTGTAGAGCTAATTAATATCTGCCTGTATGTGTATATAGACATGCATGTGCACAGAAATAATTTCTACAAAGCTCATTTCGAGTGAATGTTTGAGAAACCTGTACAAATGTTGAGCATGTTCTGTGATCAGTATTTGTCACATCATCTGTGCTGCAAGAATGAATGAAATTTTCCTCTTAGAAAAAAGGAGGGACAGGAACTTCTCTGTCACAAAAGAAAGAGAAAACACTTTTGATTTCTTTTTTTTTTTTTCCAGTCTAAGTCAAGTCTCCAGACAAAACTGTACAACTTGCCTTCCCGTTTCTCAGTCAAACTTAATGAAACTCCTTAGGATTTCCACTGGAGTAGCTTCTCTCTCCTGATCCATTTCATGTTTCAGTGGAGTTTTTTCCCAGGTTTCCTTCTGAAAAACAGCTTTGCCAGAAGTGCTCAGTTTGGACATTTTGTGTATTAACTAGACCTATAAAATCACTGTGGGAGCTCAGTGTGGCCTGCAGAAAGTCTTGGTGAAGATTGATTGGGTCAAGATGCCTATCATTGCCTGTAATGAGCTGTATTAGTGTGCCCATGGCATGTTAATTTGGACCTGGCAACGCCTAATAACCACAGTATAGTGTGTTTGTGCAGCCACATTTGTACAGATACATTGTGAGGAGGAGAAGCCTCAGAAATACAAACAAAAAAAAGCACGCCGATACACACAATAATGTGCATATAATCTGCCTCCCTCTCATTCTGTTACATAAGACCAGCAGGCGTGAGAAGAAAAAAATTGCAATTTCAATTTTTGGAACTGCGGTGACTCGAAACCAGCACTTGCAAGGAAAAGATCTCCAGATTGCAAAGAGAGCAGGCTGGCAAAAAGCAAGGGTTCAGAGGAGGCTGGCACTGTAAGGGCCTGCGGTTTTCTTGGGGGCCTGACGAAGGCTGAGTTAGGGGCCCTGCTCCTGTTGTCCCTCCCTAGAAGCTTCGGCAGAAGTTCCTGTTGGGGCCGCAGGAGCTTACCTGCGGAGCAAGGCGAATACCCAAGAAAAGTTATGCGTTTACAAAACCTGGTAAAACTTGTGGGCTGCTTTGGAAAAGCAGCATTTTTACAAACGGGAGTTGCTCTGTCGGCGGGTTAGAATTCCCCTTCCAGCCGTCCCCCTGTTACTCGCCCTTTGCCCCAAACTGTTTGCGTTGCATTTGTGATGATAGTTCTGCCTTTCTCTTAGGTCTCTCTCTTATAGCAATAATGCCATCTTCTTTTACATTTACTGCTAGCAGTACCACAAACCAGCATCCTGTTTCCCTTCTTTACTGCAGCTGCATATGGGGCCGAAGGCTTTAGGGACTTTCATGCAATAATTCCCAAATCTTTTTCCTGTAAGTATACTGCAGACTCAGCTCACTACAGAACGTTTCCATCTAGTTCCTACTTTTATGGTTTTTTTCTGTCATTTCAGTTCTCAGTAATTTACGTTTGTGTTCATATGCTACCAACGGACTTGAGTAGCCTAATCTTTTTTGGTTTATTCACATGTACTTTGTTTTAACATAATAAGTCTATTTCAAAAGCAACCTTCTCCAAATTTCCTAGCAGGCATGGGGTCTGTAATCTTTTTTAATAAATATATTTCCATAAAAATTCTTAGTCTTATAATTAAGAGAAACAATTTAGTGTATGATTTATGAAAAACTGTCATGTGGTCAAGCTGAATACTTCTATCACTTCTGTTCACCATGGTGAAAACAGCAGTATGGGGTTGTATTCCACTGAACCTGTAGGATGCTTTAAACCATTTCTGTTTAGCTAGGCATGCCATCTTTGTAAATCATTGCTGAGTCACTGATTCTTTTTTTCTGGACCTCTAAATTATTCCCCCTTTTAGGACATACATTTTAAAGGCAAGACTGCTATTTATGACACGCACTCACTCTGTTTTAGGTATTTGAAAATACAATATTGGAAAAAACATGAAAATGCGTAAAATGATAGACTTCATTAAAAGGTGTTCACCCAAGTAATGTCCAGAAATGTACATGCCTTTACTCTCAGCACATTCCCCGGTAGTATTTTGAGGCAGAGCTTGCTGTCGGTCCCACCCGTGCAGTCCAGCTGGACCTTCAGGGAGGTTGCAGAGTGTAACAAACGGAGAACACCTTAGCAAACTTTTCATTTTTAGATAAAAGTCAAGATCTTTAATCCCTTGAGGTAGTTATTGCCCACGGCTTAATTATATCATTGCTACAACACCATTTATGAATAAGGCTACCAGAAAATGTCTATTACACAAAAGAAAGAGACCCTTCTTTGTTGGGTGAAACAGTTCCCTTTTGCTTGCCCAGCTAGCCAGAAAAGTAAATGCTTTCCACCTTGGGAGTGGGGTGAGGGAAGAGGTGTTTCACTGAAAGGAAAGGGAGATTTGGGGAAAAAACGGAATGGCAGTTTTCAGTTTAATGAAGAATTATTTGTCCACCAAAATCATGTGATTGGAAAAGAGGGAAGAAAGTGTAAAGGTGGTTTATTCTACAGAAAACGTGATCCAGTCCTGTCGAGAGAAGAGGAATGAGTAGTGGCCTTAACTGAGCTGACTGTTGGCCCTTATGCATAGCCTGTTTAGGTTTAGGCCTTTGCTGTGTTCACATAAGACAAAATTTACCTACCTAGGTGCTATCCCATGCAGTGAGGCTATGCCAAATTTATACCTGTATTTTACTTATATTTGCAGGTGATTGCCACCTCTAGGATTATAGTACAAAGGAGTTCTCCAGTAAAGTCTCCAAACCGTTCTCCCACTCACCTTTGTTAATTTGGTGCTTTTTAACAGTAACTCGTGGCTGCAGAGATCCTCCCCTCTAACTCAGTGACCCTAATCCTGCTGTCTTAAAAACACAACTGTCCCTGTTATAATTTCAGCACTAGTTCTAGCTCGAGACGCTTCCTCCCATCCTTCCCCGCTCTGGTTTCTGTGTCAGTGTCTGTACTGTTTTCTCTCCCGTTGTCCTTGCTTACCCTATAGACCTGCACAGCAAATATTTGGATTCAGCACAACCCTCAGCACCTTCCTGCCACGTGGAGAATGTTGCATTTTCAATTCATTTTCATCCACTGCCTTTGATGAGTTACTTATTTTCGCAATCGTGTCAGACAAATCCAAGTGATGTGGATTCATTACAGATTTCTTCCAATTAGCCCGGATTGTCAAAATGGATGTTACAAAAACCTGAAAGCGACCTAGGAACAGACTTGTAATGTTATTTAGGTGCCCAGCTCCCTTGATGCCTTGTATTTGTCTAACTGATACTCATTGCTCCATATGTTACAAACTCATCACGTTGCCCGTAGAAATGCAGTCATGTTTGTTGCTTCTGTTTTTTTAGGTATATTGTACATTCTGTTTAGAAGTTATATCTCCTTTGATGTGATTGTTTCTTTGCCACTCTATTTGTTCTGCAACAAAACTGAGTGGCATCCTGTATTGTTTTTTTCAGCCGGTAATATTAAAATAGAGACTCAGAGTGATGAAGAGAATGGGCGTGCCTGTGAAATGAATGGGGAAGAATGTGCGGAGGATTTACGAATGCTTGATACCTCGGGAGAGAAAATGAATGGCTCACACAATGGCCCAGGCAGCAAAGCTATGTCAGGAGTTGGAGGCATTCGACTTCCTAACGGAAAGCTAAAATGTGATATCTGTGGGATAATTTGCATCGGTCCCAATGTGCTCATGGTTCACAAACGAAGCCACACTGGTAAGGCCTGGCATAGTTTTTCCTTTAGTTGACAAGATTTGGCCACGTATTAGGAAAAGACTTATTTTCTGTGAGTATCGTGCACATGTTCCCTCCAAGGAGATAATGCAGCATCTGTGGGCATTTGGAACTGTGTTATTTTGTTATTCTGTTTTGGACTGGACAGGAATTGAGATTTCTTCATCATTTCTTCTTGATAGAAGTCCATCTATTGTGTGAGAAATGAAAAAAAAAAAAAAATCCAAGATTTGTCAGCATAATTGTATTTATTCCAGTCAGAAGTTGTACATTGTGCTGATACCAAATGTTGATGTCTAAAGTAATGTACTGTTTGGTTTGAAGCTACATGAAAAATTTAACTTTCCATAAAAAAAAAAAAAGGAAAGAAATCTTAATTTCTATGACATTTCTAAAAAAAAAAAAGAACATAGTTGTGACCAGCTGTGCAGTGGACACAGTTCCAATGCTTCCAACAGTGCCACAAAGTTATTTATGGATCAGTGATTATGAAAGTCATTGGCAAAACGAATAAGGCATTTACAGGTTTAAGAGAACTATCCTGTGCAGTTTTAGAAAAAAAAAAAAAAGGGTTAATTCTATGTCAAATGTTTCATGAAATAAAAGCAAGTATTGTCACTGTTTGGGTCTGGACTGAAGGGTTTCCACTGGAACTTCAAGAGAGACATGTAGAGGTTGTTCTCCGTAGTGATAGCTTGTCACTGTCACAGAGCTGCATATCTTCTTGCCTTGACTTTCTATTTCTGAATAGCCTCCAAGTGGGGGAAAAGTGAAGACACTGGAACAAATCAAGAAGTAAAGACTAGGGCGAGTTTCATCTTACCTGCTGCAAGCCATCTAAACATTGGGCACCCGTTCTAAACTCCAAGATCACCCATAGTCGAAAGGGAACTGAACTGTACTGCGGTGAGACACCAGCAGGATTTAAATCCTAGGGTTTCCTGTTGTTTTTAATATGAGTCTTGAAGTTACTTTAAAAATAAATATATAGAGGATTTGACATTTGTGCATGAATACTCAAATGGGAGGGGATTGTAACGTACTCTTAAGATACGAATGACCTGTCCAATGGTTAGAGTTTCCATGGAAATATTCACACGAATGAGCAAGCAGATGTTTCTTCCTCCCCAACACCCCGATTACAATTAAATGATTTCCCCAGAACTATCCAGGGGCAAGGTGATGAGCAAAGTGTTTTCAATGTGGAGGACCAGCACAGCGGGGACTGGCAAAGATTCACAAAAAGACCCCAGCGCCCCCGTCCCCTGAGACTGTCTATGCTTTTAACTGCGGCTGTGCAAGCTCTCGGAGGGTGCGAGCGGTTTGTTTAACCTGGATTAGCCACGTTCAGTGGAAGTCCTGGTGAGGGTTAGAAATGCCTACGTCAAAGCACGCTTCAGTTAAACGTGATAAAACCTTCTGTCCAGGGAAGAGCAGACACGTATCTTTGTTGAAAAAGCCACAGATAGTTCTTAGAAGAGAGGCTGCAACATACCTCCTAGATAGATATAACACGGCGTACTTGGTTGTTCTTTTTTAATTTCATGCTAGTCGGTAAAATGTATATGGAAAACGACTTGCACATGAGGCCTTTTTACAATACCCTTAAAAAAGGGTGTTGTAGTAGCTGAAATAAAATGCTGCTACTTCCAATGCATTTGAAAGTAGAAGACTTTGTGCCTCTTTAACGAGGCCGCTGTTTTATTAAAAGTACAGTAAAGAGGCATGGCAGGAGCTATTGGTTACAAATACAAAGTCAATTTGTAACGGTAAATATCTGATAAAGTGAAAAAAGAAGGAAACAGAAATGGAGTGAATGTGTCTATATGTGTACACGCATGAACACACGTGGAAACGGAGAGCTGCCGAACTGTAGCCTTTTCGGCCCGACGTTGAGAGATTGGAGGCTAAAAGGAAAAAAGCAAATTTCTCAGATCTATAAATTTGTCCTGAATGGCAGTCGTGTTGTACGGGGGAGCCAGCAAAAGGCATTTTTGCCTCACAACAGGCTGTCGGGGCGCACAGGCCTTGACAGGCAGCTCTGAGAAGCGGCCTGGCGCTGGCAGCCGAGCTGGTCCATCACCCGCCGCCGTCCCAGCGGCCGTCAGAGCTGGGGCACCCCCTCTCCCCAGGGCCGCTGCCGGCTGCTGGCGGGCACCACCAGCGACACGACGCCGGGGGGTCTCGGGAGGACTCCGCTGTGCGGCGGCGGCTTTGGAGGCCGAGTTCAGAGCTGCCTTTTCCCCCGGGCCGGCATCTCCAGAAGCTCCAGCGTTTTTCCTAATACCGACCTCGAACTTCCAAAACCCTGTGCACGGCAGAGTCATTTTTGCACGTGCTAAGCGGGTTTTGGGCAGCGCCTAGCGAGACCTGGCACTGTAGGTCCGCGGCGTCCACGACTTCACAGCAGCAGTCACTCCTTGCCGACAGGATCCTCTTTTTATGCAGGGAATAGAGTTAAAACTTGCACTGGCAATATCTGAAGAGCTTCAGTTTGCTCATCAGAAGCTCCTGCTTTCGTTTTTAATAAACTGAAGTTGAATCCCTTAATCCTTCTGCGGAGGTAAAGCCTTTGCTTTCCATCGGGTCTTGCCCTGAGCTCCAGCTGTGAGCAAATCTGCTAGTGGGAGCTGTGCTTTGCCAGGGACGGACAGGGGAGCGGCGGAGCAGAGCTGGTAGCTTAAATGAAAGGGATGTCACGAGGAAATAGTAGTAACTGCTTTTCCTTTCAGTTGTGCTGTGAAAATTAAAGCAGAAATAGGATATAGTGTTAGCGACATTTAAGTGACTATACTGAAGCCCATTTCAATGCACGCCTGATGAGGGAGTAAGCCTTGCAAATGAATTACTTTGCTGCTAATTCATGTAAAACCTGCATATGCAGTGAGGTTTCCTTAAATAAATACTTGATAAGTGAACAAAACTCTGGCACGCTAAAACGCCAAAATAAAATGACTGCCTGCCCTGATAAAAGGCATAATTGCATTTAATGAATACACCTGCCAAGTGCAGATATGCAGAGCAGCACCTGATATTTTCTACCCCTTTCTGTGTGCAAGCAGCTGCAAACCACTGGCTCTTTCTTAGTACTTTACCTGTTGCTCCCATTAGTGGAGTGAATCCTGCTCACTGGTGTCTGACTGTCTTCGCTCTCCGTCCCCAAAGCTTTTAGTACGTTGATCTTCTTCAGCCTGCTGTTGCTTTCTTGCTCAGTCTTTAGGGAAAAGGACATTTAGGAGGCAGAGGGTAGCAGAGAGAGACAACTCCCTCCTGCTTGCTGAGGTTGAGACCTCATCATGCTTCGCTTGGTTGGCGTGTAGGGGTGTGTGTGTGTGTGCACGTGTATATGTGTGCGTTTATACATTCCCACTTTCTGCATACGCTACCGTAGCGCTTAGCTGGCTTGCGTCTTGCTACTCGGGTCCCAGCGTGCCAAAGGGAGGCCAGAGGCACACAGGCTGCGCGAGAGCAAAGCGAGCAACGGCAGCGGATTAAATTAGCGGGCCCATCGCGGCTTGCTGCTGGGCCCGCGCTGGTCCGTAGCTACGCTCCAGGCAGAGAGACCCAGCCAGGACAGACGTGTGCTGTGCAGAGCAGGCAAGCAAATAACTCGCAAACCAGACCGTTTAACCGAAAGGCACAGTATGTATTTATTTTTTCTTTTCCCGCTGGGCCTTCCCCATTTTTGGGGGGTAGCGCCACACGCCGTAAGGTTGCATGCAGGAGCAATGCTACGTGCTGCCGTGCCTGGGAGCGGGGCTGGTTCGGTGTGCTCGACAGCGCACAAAACGCAGGCTTCCCCCCTCCCCTGCCTGCAGCACGAACGACCGAGGGCCAGCCAAACGGCGAAGGGCCCTGCGGGGCTTCTCAGTGGCGAGGCAGTTGCCTTTGTACAGCGGTGTAAGTACTGCTTCCCGTACATTTATCCCACTGCCAGTTTTATGGAAACATTTGGTATGCAGCGGTCTCATTTTAAATACTCCACCTGCCTGTCTTTGCCACCCAAAATAAGGTTTCACCCTGTAATCGTGCGAGCTGTAGGCTGGAGCTCCATTTCAGTCTTACTTTACATGTAGCGCCTGGAGTGCTTTTACGGTCCTTGTTTTCTCCTCTTATGCTTCTTAGAGTAAAAATAACTGAAATAAATGCTAGAAAAGCTTAGTAACAATTAACTATATTTCCCCTGAATTTTGTGTCCCTCCTTACAAGATGACTTCTTCGTTACTGTTTCAGTCCATTTCTGAGAAATGCCTTCTGCAGTGAGTAACTGTCACGAAGATGAGAAGGTAAAGCACAGACAGACCTGTATGCGTGTACACATATAGACACATTCACCCTTTTTTTTTTTTTCCTAACAATTCATATTCATGGCTTATTAAGTATGTTGTAAAGTCCTGTAAGGCTAACAGTCTCATTTCTGTAGGGCTACCCCTGTGTAAAGCAGTTGCGGATATAGTGAAGGATATATTTAGATGAATACAGTTACGTGAATACAGAAAGTGAGCTCGTTCGGCTCGACAGGGAATGTGCTGACCTGCTTGAAGCTATTTGGCCAACGAAAATATCTTGCTGTAAAATAGATTCATTTTACTGTTAGCTGACTATTAGAGTTGCCAGCCCTGATAGCAGAGTTTGCAGATTTTTCTGTTGGGACGATGCTGCTACTTTTCTACTGCATTACCCAAAAGTAAGGAATGATCGTGCTGTACATATATGTGCGCATATGTATACACAAGTTGGCCTGAAATGTGCAAAATAACGAATGATGCTCAAGGGAGAGAGAAAAAAGGAGGAGTTTAACTTCTAGGCATTTTTTTTTCACATTTTAACTTCTGCCGTGAAATTTTTTATTGAATATTATGTAAAGAAAGTCAAAACTTAGAACAGGTCATCTCTGAAGTATTTCTACTATTGTAGATCTATTATAATTACTACAGCAGATTACATTTATGCCTAAGAGAAATAGAATTCAGCAAAGAAGTTTCCAAGGCTGGTTGGCCGTAGTCAAGGGCTATCTCTTATGAGAAATGGGCATGCAGGAGAGGTGCCTGTTGATGGAGTGCTTTCATGTATAAATTGTTTCCTGTATTCCTGCCTGATACAACCGGAAACATAAGATATTTTATTTCCCGCTGAGTTAAGAACAGCCCTCATATATCTTAAACCAAAAATAAATGAACAAAGGAGCGTATCAATGAATTACAAACAGCAATGAAAAACAAAAGCCGTATTAACTTTTTCCAGTGGCAGTCTGATGCACGGCTTTGCTAACAGGCACAAATGTAGACAAATAAAGTCTCTGTTACTTAAAGCTTTTCCCTGGGTCTTTCCAAAGTGTGGAACAGCGGAGCCCATTTATACAACTCCTCTGTTAACACCTTGCCTAAAGCAGGGTTAGGACTTCTCTGTGGAAGTACAGGGTTTCCGCTGCACTGTCTTAACTTGTGTGATTTTACTCTCTCTCTTTCTCTCTCTTTCTCTGTCTCTTTCCTGATTTGGCTGCTTAGGGACAGACAGGTAATGGAGAAGAAATTGAAAGGGAAAATACAGGGAAAATGTAAATGAAAAGAAGTTATTATAACTGTTATAATGAAGTGCCTTTCATTTAAATATAAGAATGTAACGCTGAAATGAACTTGTGATCCTGAAATGCATTTTTAATGAGTTTCCTTTTTATTTTGCTGCTTCAGTGGCATATTTTAAAGACCCTTTGAAAAAAGCCACATTAAAAACCCCACCAAATGCCACAACATGCAAAATTGGATATTGGTTTATTCCAAAACTGCTGATCAGGAAGAGTGGCTCTTCAACACAAAATGTTGCAGTCACTTTATTTAAATGAGTTTGAATTTGCATTGTGATGTGCCATTCTGATTTAGAAAAAAAAAAAATTAGATTTTCAGATCAAATTGACCCAGCCAGTGAAGCATTAAGAAACTGGCAGGTTTAGTCTGAAAGCCTCATGTTATATCAAACCTGCAGCCGGTGGAAGTCACAGAGCAGCAGTGAGAAAACAACTTTCTCAGTGAAATCCTTCTCTTGTTACTGTGTAAGATTTTTTGTTCTCACACATTTTCTCCTTCTCCCCTTAGGGGAACGCCCTTTCCAGTGCAATCAGTGCGGAGCCTCCTTTACACAGAAAGGCAACCTTCTTCGCCACATAAAGTTGCACTCGGGTGAAAAGCCCTTCAAATGTCACCTGTGTAACTATGCCTGCCGTCGCAGGGATGCCCTCACGGGCCACCTGAGGACTCACTCAGGTAAGTGAGGGTGCCGGGCCGCCGCGGTGGCCCCGCAGGGGTGTCCTTGCCACCTGGGCTGAGGAGCCTCCTTGCCCTGGCGAGGCGAGCGGGCTCGCGTGGCTGCAACGTTTCAGCGGCAAAGAGGTGGCTAAACTGCTTGCGCTCGTGGTCCTCCGCCCCAAGACCTGTTCTCCCTGGTGCTTCTCGGCTGGTTAAAAGGTTCGGGGTTGGGGTTTCACCTGCCACGCCTCGTGGCAGTAATCCGTTTTGTGGAACTGCTGACGTGAGTTCAAGGTGTGGGACGTTTTGGGGTCTGGCTGTAATTTATCGACACGCAGAGACAACGTACGCTCTTAAACATGGAAGGTTTAAAGTCATGAAGTCTCAAAAGCCTTCAGTCTGGTTGCGATTCTCTGCTTAAGGAGTGAAAGCACCTACGGCATTTAGCAGTAGTTGCTTGCTGCACCTTGTTTTTACAAGTACATTGAGAGAGAGAGCGTGGGGAGGAGAGAGAGATAACACTCCTTTAAATTGGAGGGCACTACTAGAGGCTTTCAGTGTTTTCTCTTAACAGTAATATAGAGATCTGAATAAATATTTTTAAATTCTTGGGCTTTTCTATCAACAGGAACCTCTCATTGTTTGAAAAAAAAAAAAAAAAAAAAGCCAGAGTCACAAACCTTCTGTGAGGCAAATCCAATTTAGCACCTCTAAAGAACCTTTAAGTCAGCCTGTAGTCTCATCCAGTCGCAGGCTAAGCTGGAAACGCAAGTTGTTATTCGGAAAGGAGACTCAGACAAACTTGCAGGAACTGATGCCAGTACCTTTACTTGTGAAAGCTGGCTTTGGGACAGTAGTCCTGAGTAGTGCAAGGGGAGCTTGCCAAGTGACATTTGTGTCTCGCGCAAAACTAAGGCAATTCTTCTAGCATACATTAAATGATAAGAATCCTAGTGTTGGTCCCAGATGTTCAAAATAAATTGGATCCTCACCTGATTCAGGACAGCACATATTTAAAATTCTTTTTTTGCCTCTCTCTCTCTCTCTCTCTTTCTCTCTCCCCTCTACTGATTTTAGTGCTAGTTTAATTTTAATCATATTTTTTCATATGAACATGAAACTACCCCTAGGTACTTCCAACAGACTCTCAGGAATTTCTAGGTAAATTTTACATTGTGTAAATATGGGTTTTGATTAGTTTCTGTAATTAGCAAATTGACACCAATACATATAAGAAAAGTTGGATATATGAGTCTGATTTTCATCTGAGAATTTGTAAATAAAATTCAAAAGTTAGGCTATGTAACCATCTAAAACTATGCACTCATGTAAACAACCGACAGGCTTTTCATCTTAAGAAAAAAAAAAAATTGGGTCCAGAAGTCCACGAAGTCCTGTTTTTACTGTGAAATTCCTGGAACTGCCTGAATCTCAATTGTTGCAATATAGAAAAACTTTAGTCATGCCATTTCTCTTGAATTTCTAGAAATGGAGAGCAAGAAAGCATGTGAAGTCTAACATTCTACTCAAGAAGCTGAGCAGCCTCTTGTTATGGTAGAATTAACCTCCAGTGGTAGACAGGTGTTTACCTACAAAACCAGTTTTCGTTGCTGGCCTTCCTTGTTAGCAGTCTCTGTGGGAGCTAGGCGTTCGAGTATCTCTACTCAGATCTTTGAAGGTGTCTCAGTTTCCAACTCTTGCAGATTCTGTTTTTGAAGATTTAATGTCGCAGTCTTTATCTGATGTGAATCATCTGTAATCACCTTGCAGCACCCACAGAATTGGTCTGTTCATGAAAAGATATCTACAACTGGCTTTCCATTATTTTTCTAAATAGCCAAACTCTGTCTTCAGTTCACCATAGCATGGGTTTCTTTTGGGTGGGCTTTTTTCTTGTTGTGGTTTTACCATCGCTAATATGTTGTTGGATACCTAATTTGACTCTCTCAATTGTATTTTCTGCAGTTGGCAAACCCCATAAATGTGGATACTGCGGTCGCAGCTATAAGCAGCGCAGCTCTTTGGAAGAACATAAAGAACGCTGTCATAACTACCTGCAAACCATGAGCATCTCAAGCAGCCTTTATTCAGGTAATAGCATGCAGCTGAAGTGTCAGTTCTAGGATTAACACTCTCCTCACAGGTGCCTAGTAAAAGGAGTGCCAAAGGAACAGTAGTACCATATGTGGCCTCTTCTGTGTTAGGGAGGTAGAATATTACACACACACACACACACACACACACACTTATAAATATATATGATACTGCATATGGATCTATTCTATACTTGATAAATGTTTGCTTTTTATCTTGCTTTGCTTAGCTCAAACAAAAAGCCAAAGTAAAACTCAGGTATATAGTAAAACACCTGCAAGACCTGGAACGTTTCAGTTCCCCATCTCAAGACCAAAGTGTGACGTCATCGTCTCAGCACCTTTTGCTTCTGCTTGAGTCCTATACTGCAATACCTTTGTGGATGTATTCCTAATAAAGAGCGAATATCCGTGTTCTGGGGCTGGAGAATCTTCTGCATTTTGTATCCCCTGCACGTTGCCCCTTCCCAGGCACAGTTTAATGAACTTACTTGAACACTGGGACCGCAATTCATATAACAAGGATGAGCCATCTATCTCTGATTTCACGCTTTCAAGCAAGAGGGCAGGAAGACAGAGGGAGTTAATTTAGCCCCTTTGACTGAGGCAGTCCAGAGAGGGTAATAATTTGTGGATAGGCTTCTTAAACAAACAAATTTATATCTTAAACAAAACTTGGGGGCAGAAGGGTCATGCTTCTCTGAGAGACTGGGCTTACCACGAAGGTAAAGTCCATCCCCCGGAGAATATGGAATCTAAAACTATGCCCAGAAATGGAAAAAGCAGATATTGGGGTTTTTTTTTGTTTGTTTTTTAAACAAAGGCCCTAAAGAGCTGTGTGGGATTGATCACAGTAAGTAGCCATACAGAATCCCATTGCGCATACAATTTTAGATGGAGAATATAAGAGCCAGCACCTGTGGTGGAGTTTAAGGTTGTAGCCCGTTCAATAAGTTCTGTCTATCTCTTGCATAACTTTTTGATCCTGTCAGTATACTTTATTCGGTTTGTCAAATGACAAAATGGAAGGTTCTTTCTGACCTATTTGCAATGATGCCTCATTTAATATTGTATATCTGGACAGAACCTGAATATGTTTTTACATGTTATCAGATAATGTAAAGTATATGCACATAATGATAGCAGTGAATGCGGCTGAGATTCTTCTGACAGACAGCGTGTTAGAGCAGCGCCCCTTCTAATTTTACTGAGGAGCTGGAGAATATATAAATAGAAAGCTCAAAGTAATATACTGTAGGCAGCAATATTTATTCCACAAAGAGGTGATAGGATTGAGAAGCAAATATTCTGCCTGGGATTAAAATTTTTAGTGTCTGGCACATGGGTTTGAAATGCCTGCATGCAAAACATGAAAATCGGTAGGAACGACCGATCTAAACTACTACTAAAATCTTAGTAAACAAGAAATGTCCTAAACTTTAATAAAATAAGTTACAAATTTTAGAGATGGAACTTTGGTTATAGCAAACCATGCCAGAAAATAAAAAGACGTTTTTCAGTAGTTTAGGACTGAATATCTTTCAGTGGGGTGAAAATTTGGTGAATTTATGAATTACTTCTACCTTGCATATACAAAGAATAAGATACATATTCCTATTAGGTATAATAGGAGTGCTTTGACAAATGAGAAAAAACAGTAAGGGATTAATTTCTGCTTTTAGCCCCTATATTCTGCCAAGGATTTCACTCTTAAAAGAGAGAGGGGAAAAAAAAGTATTACTACCCAGTTAATAAACCAGTTCTTCATGTTTCTAAAAACAAAACTCTCCAGCATTTTTTCTTACAATTTTGCTTTCTAAACAATCTATTCTATCTCATTGCAAACAGAGTAATCCTGGCTATACATACCTTTTTCCCTGTTTACGTGATTTCCTTTATCTGATTTTCCTTTATAAAAGCAAAGAGGAAAATATACAGTGCGACAGTTCAGAATCAGTTGATGTCCTTCTGGAATTTTTAAATATATTCTGTATTGTATTTAGAAAAGCATGGAGAGCTTAACTGCAGGAACTACTACTGTTTTCATGGTGTTTCAGGGTGTGATATGGAGGAGCTATGATGGTCATAATTAGGTCCCCTTTGTTTTTCAGACTCAGAAATGTTGGGACAAAAATCTGTTGGGGTATCTACTTTGGTGTTCTGCTACAGCAGGATTACTTTTTAGAGCATTTTTTAATTTTTTGTGCAACGCTCATTGAAAATAGAAGTCAGCTGTCTAAATTGGAAAACGCTTTCCATCAGCGTATGGTAAAAGTACTTATATAAAGAAAAGAGCCAGCAAAGAGGAGTAAGGAAGGGAACAAGACGTTGTATTATATTTTAACTTTTTGTTTGCTTCCTTTAAGAGAAGCAGATTCAGCCTGAAATTCAAAACCTGCTGAATTAAATGGCAAAATTCTTACTTTAGAAAACTAGAATCTCACCGATCATGTGGAGTGCTTCTCTTAGAGATATTAATTGGAGTTTTTCATTTGAGTTCAGCATGGTGAGGTCTTTCTAAGGCCTATGTAAAATAACAGAGAATAAATAGTTTATGAAATTTAAAAAGGATCCATTACAATTCTTCAGTAACTTGCGGATTTTCATTTGGAAAGATAAAATAAATATTTTTTTTCCAGTTTGCAGCAACCAAATTGCAGAAAAATAGTTACCAGCTTGGTGGCAAATTTCTTATGTTTTCTGTTGTGAAGGCTGGAAATTAGTATATAATTCAAAATTTCCCATTTTTATTGCAGTTTTTAAAATTGCAATATTAAAAGTTTGAATGATGTTGAAGCCATAATTTACCCTGTCTGGAACAGATTTGAAAGAGAATGTTGTTATATCCTAAGCAGTTCTTCTTGATCCTTTCAGCTTTCAACTACGAATTCTGTGGGTTTTTTTCACTGTTAAACTAGCTGCTGTAAAATACTCTCTGTAAATCTCTTCCTGAAATAGCACCTAGTAGCCTTAGCCAGCACTAGATGCTGGCACTTGCCCATTTTATGATACCATCTATGTCCTCTACTATCCCGCACTTCTGCTACCAAATTCTGTTCACATCTAGAGTTGGTTCACAAATCTTTAGCGTCTTAATGGGCTGAGGCCTGATTATGTGCGACTCCTTGTCACTGCGGTACGTTCTGCTGCAGCAGGGAATTAAAAGCTACTCGTACGCTCTCCTGTTTGGTACTGCGGGGATGTTCTTGTCTGCGATACTTGGCCTGCTCGTTCCAGTTATCCAACAGAGCCTGATTTGGCATCTTTCAGGAACAATGAAACTTTCATAGTCATGCTTTTAAAATGACAATAACAAACGGCCAAGATCACTTTGCATAGGAACTGCACGTTCTTCTCATGAAGCCGCTTAAGAAGCAATCAGTGTAGCGGCTCTAACTATTGAGAAGCAGCCTGGTACAAGAGTAATGGGTTCTGTGAACCTTTCTCACCTCTAAACAGAGGAAATGTGGTGATGAAACAAACATTTTCAGCAGGCATAGGCAGCAAAAGGTAGCACAGGGTACACGTAACTGAAATACCTTGCAGAATCAATGTCTACAAATTATCTTCTCACTTTAACACCAACGCACAAGCTTAGGTAAAATAACCATATCCCAGTAGCAGGCAGGAATAAAATTAACTCCCTTTCCCTCATTTCCCTGCCAAGAAAATGAATTGTGCAGTGATCTCAACACATATTATCTTTTCTTTAAATGCTGGAAGTCAGAAATACTTTTCTATACATTTTCCAGAGCCACTGCTTTTACAATGCATTTTTCGTACATGCCTTCTGCTTCTGCAAGGAAGTGCTGCAGGGAAATATGTAGCCTCTTTTTCTTAGAGCCTCATAGCTAAGACTGCCTTGGCTAAGTTCCTTCCTAACTCTACAGTGTCTTAGCAGCAGCGGGGGGTTAAAAAACAGGTCTGAGTGCGAGAAGTCAGGGCTCCACTACAGAAGCGTGGTTAGCAATTTAGCTAAAATTGTCATTTACGGTCTAAACCTGCAGCACAAAAGTACGGCAGTATCTACTAGGGAAGAAAAAAAAGAAGGGGAGGAGGGTTGGTGTAGCCTGCCAAAAATATTTATGACTACCGGAGTCCCTAGGTTTGCCCATTGTTCCTGCTAAAGAAGCGATAATCGCATAGGCTCTTCCACGGGGAGAGGTGCAGAGGGACAGGGTGGGGGTGGGAGGGTGAAAAGGTGGGCTGCTTCGTGCCCAGTATCGTTTTAGGAACTCATTCTTCGTTGCCCTGCGCTCATGCCAGTGCAGGGTGGCTGTCGAACAAGTGTGGCGTGCTCGTGTTACCTACAGGCCGATGCCTGACATTTGCAATCTTATTTCTGCATCCTAAATGAGGGAAACATGCACATGTGTATGGATTAATCAGCATAAGGGTCTGTGTTACAAAGAGTCAGAACTGGCCTGTGTCTGTAGGGGTGAGCTCCTGCTTCCAACTGCTTGGGAGCTAAAAGACATGAGCTAAGAAATAATAACCTGAAGACAATAGTTCCATTAAAATGGAACAAGTGTGCCTAACCCTTCTGATGTCATTTGATTTCAGTCATAAAAGAGGAAACTAACCAGAGTGAAATGGCTGAAGACCTGTGCAAGATAGGGTCAGAAAGATCCCTCGTGCTGGATAGACTAGCAAGTAACGTCGCCAAACGTAAGAGCTCTATGCCTCAGAAATTTGTTGGTAAGAGTTAAACGTTTGCTGTCTCCTAAAAAAAAAAAAAAAAAGAGCAAAGCAAAATCCAAGAAAAAATCTCACAGGATTTTCACTCTTGTTTTATGATTTTACTTATTTTACGAAATTAGCAATATTTATCTCAATAGAGGCAGGTACAGGGATGTGTTGGGGGAAAAACAAAGTGTTTCCCCAGTATACACTTCTGTAAGTTTAATTTTCCACATCTGGGGATCTGTTTTAAGTCTTTCTGTCTTTTTTCTACTGCTTCTGAACCAGATCTTTAGAAGAACTGGTTAGGTTCTTGAGGCTGCCTTAAGAACCTCAAGATTGCCCTAGGAACATAGATTTCTTATTGGGAAAGCATTTGACCATATATTCAGGGTTAGTTTTATTAATTTTTTGGATTTGATCCAGATCTGTGCATATTGGTGTATGTGAATGTGTCTGTGAACAGCTGGGCATAGGCCAGGTAATCCTCCTCTTCCCTTCACAAAGACTGTAAACTTTTCTAGCCCATAATAATCATGGAAATAAATATATGTGGATCTGAGAGTAATACACAAAAGAAGATCTTTGGGTACCTACTATAAAGCAGTGCAACATTGTAGCTGTAAAATAACTTCATGGCCATTTGCATCCTTCCTAATAGACATTTCCAAGTCTTAACAACAAAAAATGAAGGCTTTTATGTATTTTATTCTACTTGGTACCAAGTAATGATTGGATCAGTTTTGTAATAGTCAGACCCACGGACAGTATTTTATCAAACAGCTATATATGTCTTAAGAGTCAAAACATGGGAGGTCAGATGACAACATACACTCACATCTAGCTAGATTATTTTATAATTCTTTCTACATTCATTTATAATATTGTTCTACAAGACACGATTGGAGAAAACTAAAGTCTTTGGGAAAAAAATACATTAAGAAGGTCTTCAGTCAAAAATCAAGGCAAAAAAGACCAGTTAATGGGGCAAGAATGCCAAATATACTTTCTTCAGGGAGGACATAAAGGTGAACAGAAAATCAATATTTTTAGGATGAGGGCAGGGGAACCTCAGCTATGTCAGGAGGTAGAACAAAAAGTTTGAAATGAAAGTCAAAGATTGTCTTCAAGTCCAAAGGCAACAATTGTAGGAGCTGGTCAAGGGTAAGAAATGCCAACACTTACAAAATGAAGGAATAAAGTTGTAGGAGAGGTAGTTAGCAAAAATGTATCAACTACATGAGGTAAATCAGATTCGTTTAGACACCTTAGTAACATGACTGTGTTAGGTAAAACTACTAATTTTGTGAAAGCTGCAGGAAGCCCAGAAGCGTTAAAAATTTAAAAGATACTAGCAAGTATCCTATATGCAGTGTAGCTGTGGGTGTCGACTAGCTTTTTTCATTCTCTTTTTTCCCTTTTCACACTGAGCAACAGTAGACATTCAGTTTAACTACAAGTCTTAGGAGGGTAGAGTTTCCTGTCAGTTAGTTATTCAGGGTGCGGTGTATGAAGACAACCTACTGACAGCAGATATTTATGGAAATTTGCTAATCATCTTCGAAAAGATGGACTTTTCTGACAAGCAAGTGCCCCCAAATTCTTTCCTTTCCGATCCTCACTGGCTGCTTCATGTAATAGGTAAATTCCTGATAAACATAAGACTGGGGCTGCTGGCCAGGAGAGCTTTTGGGGAATAAGCCATATTCATTGCTCCTGTAGACCATGGCATCATCCCAATCCCCGTGCTGAATTCCAGGGAGAAGGAGCAAATAGTATCCTCCACGTAAGAGAGGGCTTGTCTGCAGCTTCACGCGTTGTTGTCAAGGCTAAATCCATTACCTTTCAGAACTGAGATTGTTCACCAAATTAAGCCAATTATCTGTAAAATTCTTTGACAGCAAAAGTGCTCTTGAAGCCCTCTTATGTGGCAACCTGCTTTCCAAACTGGAATAGCTCCCAAATCTGAAAGCAGAACTGAGCCTTTTAAACTAGAGGGTGAGAACTGCAAGTGAGATTGACACATGTTTGCCATGTTAAAACAACAGGTAGCAAAGAAAACAGAGGGGAAAAAAAATAAAAAAGCCCACATGCACTGAAGTGTATTTGCCATTACTATTTAGGTACCTGCTGCAGAACCCTGAACAGTGCAAAGCTGGAAGTGCATCAAACCATTAGCAGTTTAATTTACTTATGCTCTAATAACCACAAAAATGAGCTATTATTTTTAACGAGTGCAAGTATTATCTGCATTTCCCAGATATAGAAATGATACCTGCCTAACTCAAGTTTGTGTATGTTTCAGACAGTCCTGCCTGGAAACAATTTTTTTCTTATGAGCAGTTGATTCTCTTCGTCCATCAACTAGTTATGCTACATAAAGCAAATACTACCTAAGAAATAGCTATTAAAATTATGCCTTCTGGATGCCCCAAATTTTGTGTATAATGAAGAGCAGTCCAACTTTTCAGTGATAAACAGGGCATGTGGAATACAAATGATTTTGACCTTGTTTTTTCCCCCATTGAATCACGGGTATGCATTCATATTAAGAGGGTTTTTCCAGATATCCAACTGTCTTTCACAGGGCCTATTTTGAATCTTGAGCCTTAAGCTCTGCCTGATAACTGTAGTATTAGAAAGGGTAATTCTGGAAAAAATGCACGCTACTAGCTGGGTGCTCAAATTGGCAGAATAATAGGGAAAGGAAACAGGAGTAAGTAGTAGCGCATGTCCTGTAGTAGCTAGACGATATCTATACTCTACATCCCTTAAGAAACATACGCAATGCTGAGAGCGTTCTTTCTTTCTTTCCTTGTAGTGCATGGACAAGCTAGCGTGCAAGTATGTTTTCTGGAAAAAGTAGATAGCAGGACTTCCTGCGCTTTAGCCCTGTCACTGCAAGATTTGATGCCAGCAGTTTTCTAGTCTGTGCTCTTGCTCTTCATTGACTTTGAATATTTCATTTGGGTAAAAACTGGGTGGGAAATTATTGATAAATTAATTTTGCAGCACTTCTAGTAAATTTTCCATGCTACTGTTAGCATTTCTTGTAGAAAAAAGACAAATTAAGTTATATTTTATAGGTCATTTGTATGTTGAGAATTTTAGGGAAAAGGGAGGGAGAATCTTCTGCTTTTTAAGGTCTACAAGCACATGTCATGTAGTCTAGGAAATAGTGACAGCACTACAGACCTTCTAGAGACTTTTGTGGCTTCCACTGAATTTCCCAAAAGCTGCAGAGCTAACCCATCCGGACTGTAAATAATGTGCTATTGGTAGTCCCTGGGAACATACAGGAATTTTTCATCCCTTTGCATTTGCATTGGTTTATCAGACGCCTGATAATAATGCTGATGGTTTACAAATACTGTTTGAGAAGACTATTCAGGATCATAAAATCAGTATCTTTGCTTTTAAATGCTTTTTCTTTCTCTCACTCCCAACTCTTACTTTTTATGTTTCGCCTACTTTTAACTGTCAAGGAATTTTCAGAAACACTAGTGATACTCAGCATTCAATACTGAGGTATACAGCCAGAAATACCTTAGTGCTATCTAATTTTTTAAAATGCTGAGTTCCCTTTTGTAAGGCATCACAAATCAGATTCTAAATTACAAGTAACAAGTAATCTTGCTCTATAAATGGCTTTCTTCCTGACTGGAAAAATATCTTCCAACTACAAGTGCAGTTAAAATTTTTTCATGCCTTTTGCCTGCTCCTGTAGATTTTACTTTTTGACAAAAAATTTCTAGGAACGTGTGGAGCTTCTCATAATGGGTCTAACATATGGCTTCTTTAAAAAAAAAAAGGGGGGGGGAGGGGAGGTTGCAATATAAAAAATAAAGTTTTTCATTAGCTTGATTTTGCCCCCAAATGACTTATGTACACATTACTGATGTGGTTTATTTGTAAGAAACTGAATGTCTAAAACGAAAACATACATTTTCCAGTCTAAAAATTTAATATTTTAGGAAAAAAATTGATACCATGCTTCCTGTTCTGAAGCATGAAGACAAGGCTTCCTCTAAGTGTGCTGGTCTTCACTAACCCCAAAGGCATGCCATAGTGCAGTGTGGGAGGCAAGGGAGGGAATCCCGTTAGGAAGGAGAAGGAAAGGATGAGGCATTTGACTTGTAACTCCCACAAGTCTCCGCATGATTATTTCAAAAAATCTCTTTTCACCCATATGCTTTGCCAAAGCCTCAAATTATTTTGCAGGTTAAAAAAACCACCAAGCAGTTTTCTGATCAGCTATATTAGGGAACTGTGAATACCACATGTCAACTTGAAATGCAGATTTGACCAACTCTTTTAAGCTCTTTTTTCTTGTTGTTTTATTAATCTGTGATATTCAGTTCCTTAATTATGCAGCAATCAGCCTTCTAACTCTTGACTGTTTTTCAATGCAGGTGAGAAATGTCTCTCTGATCTTCCATATGATGCCACCACCAACTACGAGAAGGAGAACGAGATAATGCAGACGCACGTTATAGACCAGGCCATTAATAATGCCATCAGTTACCTGGGGGCAGAGTCTCTGCGTCCCCTTGTCCAGACACCACCAGGTGGTTCGGAAGTGGTGCCCGTCATCAGCTCCATGTATCAGCTCCACAAACCTCTCGGGGACAATCAAACTCGCTCTAACCATACAGCTCAGGACAGCGCGGTGGAAAACTTGTTGCTGCTTTCCAAAGCCAAATCTGTCTCCTCTGAGCGGGATGCCTCTCCCAGCAACAGCTGCCAAGACTCAACAGATACAGAGAGCAATAATGAGGAACGCAGTGGTTTAATTTACCTGACAAATCACATAGGTCCCCATGCCAGAAATGGCTTATCTATAAAAGAAGAAAACAGGCAATATGATGTCTTGAGGGCAGGTACTGACAATTCCCAGGATGCTTTCAAAGTGATCAGCAGCAACGGGGAACAAGTGAAAGTTTACAAGTGCGAACACTGTCGAGTCCTTTTCTTGGACCACGTGATGTATACGATCCATATGGGCTGCCACGGGTTCCGCGACCCTTTTGAATGCAACATGTGCGGCTACCACAGCCAGGACAGGTATGAATTCTCTTCCCACATAACCCGAGGGGAGCACCGTTTCCACATGAGCTAAAACTCCTCCGGCGCAGATCCAGCCTCAGCAGCTGCGTTACTGGAGCTGCACGAGCAACGGCAGCAACGAAGCACAAGTCTACCAGACAGTACAAGTAACAACAACGTGAAACATTCAGGCGCCTTGTCCCATAAGAAAAGATTTTTCTTTTGGTAGCATGCATTGCAGCTCAGTTTTCTAAAATGAGTATTAAAGTTTCTATTGAAAATGTTTGGTCAACAAAAACCTTTAGTGATGTAAGTAGGAGCTTTTGTAGTCACATAGCTGAAAGCCCTTTCCTTTAACTGTTGCTTCCTGCAAACCTCCCTTGCCCAAACTGTTACCCACGCACAGAGCGCACAGCACAGATGAGAGCATGACAGGCAGGAGCGGCCTGGCTTTCGGTCTGAGCATCCCGCGCATAGGGCTCTTGCACCACATGTATATTTTCTGACTTCTTCGTATTATTTGGCTCATTTAGGAAGATTAAACTCAACTAAAGATGGAGAGCCCCATGCTGGATGACTTTGCAGATTGCTGGGGTAGGACTGGAACCCAGCCAGAGGGTCCTGAGTTATTTTGGCAGTAAAAAGTAGAACTTTTCCACGTGCAAGGGTGCTGCTTGTATTGATGTCATGGCATGCCTTATTTGTATCACAAGGCAGGAGAGCAGGTATGTGAAGGATATAAGAAACACCTTTGTAATACACTCTGTGAAGTATGGGTTGCATTTAATGTATAGAAGAGGGTTTTGTTGCCTCTTTTTTCTTTAAATAAATTTTTTCTCTCCCTATCCAATAAAACCCCTTTTTTCTTAAAAAAAAAAACAAAACCTCTTCTCGCTGCATAAACAACAGTTATGATGTATTTAATTTTTTTAGGTTGTAGTCATTTAGAAAAGTATGATGTACAGTCGGGGAAAGCACTAGCTACAAATATGTGCAGGGCTTGTCTCCTTATACATATCTTTCATCGTTTCAAACTGCCTGGAAAATATCCAGGTGTCCCTATTTTACATATGAAAAATTCCCATTCTGCTTGCACAGAAAAATTCCTCTCGCAGATTTTGTCGCTCTGCCTGGAAGTGTCGCACCTAATTACTCTTAAATCACTGAGCTGAATTAAACCCCCCAGTCAAAATTTGCAGCTTTCTCTCCTTTCCTGGTACTTGCTATTTAATGAGGGAGCAAGCCTTGCAAAGGTGCTGAGCACCCTGGCCTCCTCGTCAGCCAGCAAAACATTTTAGCATGTGCTTTTAAGTTACATTGACTTCAGCAGATCTAATCTTAAGGTTAAATATTCAGTATTTTGCTGAATATAGAAGACCTGAAAATGTAGCACTATGCAGAGTCCAGTAAAATCCACTGTGAGCCTTCTCTGTGGCGAGTTCTGCTGCAGATATTTTAACTGCGTTTATAATAAAAAACTTCTACAAAGAATAGATTTTTAACCTCAAACACAGATGATTAAAAAAGTTTCTTTTTTTTTAACTTCTTAACTTCCTCTTCCAAATAGCTCATTCCTCTCCCTAGACACCCTCCTAGTTTAAGATTGGGCAACAAAGAAATTTGTGCAGCTGCACAAACATCTCTCAGCAGGGCTGGAATATTTCCTGGGCAACATTTGTTAAAAAAAAAAAAAAAAAGCCATCCAATTAAATTACTTAATTTATAAATATTGCCATGCAATTTAGTAAATGGATATCATCAAATAATCAAAATCATAGAGCTGCCAAGACCTGGAATGTTGTAATACAATTGCACGGTCTCTGCTAAAAACACTTGCAAGCACATATATATTATCTGGGACTTGATGGACCCACGAACGCTTGTACTTCGGACGATTTGAACTGATGTGCGTAGTTATATTTAATATACATTTGTATGACAAATACCCAGAGTTCCTCCTTCTGCTTTCACTTATGCAGGTGTAAATCAGGAGCAACGCTGAAGCTAGAGGAGAAATACTGAATTACAAATACATGCTTTTAGCGTTCCCTAGCTTTTCACACTAACTGTAGGCCTCTTGCCTTGGCTAACAAAGGCGCGCGGCGTTGTTGTCACACTGAAAGGAGAGGCATACCTGCATAGTTCCTCGCTTTGTCACCAGATACGAATGCTGCGTGTGAACTTTCACAGGCTGAGGCACGCACCTACAGCAGTGAAAAGAAAGTTGTTAGTACATATTAGGTAGCACAGTACATACAAGCAGGCCAACACCAGGAAAAAAAAAAGGCCCAACACTAAGCCTTCCCCCTTCCCTCCTCCCCGAGTATTATAACTTAATTACCCAAAGAGGCATTACAGCTTGATGCCTTCCAACCAAAGATATTATGGAGGCTACGGCCACAAAGGAGGTGCAGGCTACTTTCAACTAAGGTTTTGTCATCATGGCTGTTACCGATTCAGCTTCAAAATAGACTGTACACAGCTATGTGGAATTAGCTTTTAAATATGTTGTATAAGCATGGCCTGCAGAAGACCTGCAAAGAAAGGGCTTTCAGTAATAAGCGCTTTTTTTTTTTTAAGTTAAAGTTTAAATTATTTCATTTTTCCTAGTTGGCAAGGATAAATTCATCTGTTCTTGCCTCCTCTCACCTTTCAAATGGGTCTGACCAAGAAGGGACTTGGTAATTTCTTAGCTCCTCTTCAGTGACATTTGATGAGACTGTAGAGAAACATGCTGTCGTGTTTTATTACTGTCATGCCACTTTTCTACTGCTCTTAGAAGTAGGCCGCTATACATGCCATGCCATGCCATAATTTTTTTACCCTTCATTTTAACATAGCCCATAGCTACAAAAGGGGGAGAGCTTATCTGGGGGGTTATTTTTTCGTTTTTAACTAAAATAAAAAACAAGTAAAGCCACATTCATTATTCATGTAAACAGGCATAGCTCCAGTGGAGTTTAAAACCCTCTTGGACTTAACCTTTAAATATGGGTTTAAAAAATATTGATATTTTAAATATGATTTCTCATTAATGGATGGGTTCACTGCCTTGGCATTTGTATGCACGCATGCACGTGTGTGTGTGAGGTTCTGTGTCACTTTTCTTGTTGACATGCACATGCCAGTATCTGTGGTTGTGTGTACCGTATTTTTTTTTTACATATACCTATACATATATATATATAAAAAAAAATATATATATATATATATAAAATGGTTTGTACCACATGATGATGCACTGTCAATCGCAGTAGATTTGTTTCCTGGGTCTGGAGTTTCCCTATTTATACTATAACACAATATGTTGATGTTGTATATTAAACAGTACAGTAGTATAAGTAAGTTTATTAAGATACAGTGTATCAGAGGGTGTAGTTAAAAGGCAGGAGCAAACAAAACAGCATTCCTTGTTTGTAAAGGGGCTCTTTTTTTGTTCCTATTTTGGTTTGGTTTTGCACAAAATCATCTTCAATTTGTTTGGCAAAAAGTGTTTCAGTAATTTTATTTATGAACATACAAGGAAGGCATGAAAATGGGCTGTTCTGTGTGTACATCTAAACAAACTGCGCCCGTAGAAAACTAGTTTAGTGTTATCTCCCTTTTTCTCTCTTATGTGCTAGTGCAATACCCTATATGGTTTAGCTCATCCCTAAAAGGAGTGAATATGATGAATGGCTTTAAGTTTATACCTGTTTTTAAAAAAAACTGCTTCCCAACCCTTCCCCCGGCACTGCCTTTTCTAATAGAAAAGTTGTATTTACACAGCAGTTTTTTTTTTTGCTGTGATTTTATATTGTAACTTCATTTTTCTTTGAGAACCTTGTATTTAAGAAAATACCAAGCGAATTTCATAAAAATTTGAAAAGCAATTAACTTATGTCTGCAAAGTGAGATGTATCTTGTAAGACAAAAGAGACTGGAGCCCCCTCAGGGCCGGCCGTGGGCCTGTGGCTGGGGGGAGAGGACATGCCCACCCCAGGGCAAATCCTGGTGGCTTCACTGCTGCTGCCCCTCCGGCAGGGTCCCGGGGGCGCCGTGCACGCAAGCAAGGTTAAGCGGTCTCAGCTAGAAGAAAGTTGCGCTTGGTGGAAAGGGAGAAGAATTAAAAGCAAACAAGGAAAAAAAAAGGTGCAATCAGCTTCTTCTGCAGACTAGTTGGGTTTAAGGAGCCTTTGCTCCTTAAGCCAGCTCTTCTGCTGCAGGACACAAGGAAGGAGCCGCCTACGGCTGAAGCAAGAGGCAGGGACTGGAAAATGTTACGGTCCAGCGCAGCAACCCCGGGCTGCCACTGTCTGCATGTGAGACTAGCTGAAGAGCAAATCCTAAAGCTGCTGCAGCCTTGCCACCGTGCCCCCGGCCACAAAAGCCACACTGCTGCTGCGAGCGGCTGACGCGAAGCACGCTGCTGCCTGGCCAGGGCTCTCCTCCAGCCCTTCTCCCACGAGCGCGGCGAGGTCGTTGCAGAACACAGTTACTCCTGGTAACTGGGTAGGGTCCCGGCAACGCAAATTAAACTTCTACTAAAAAATTGCTTCTGCTACTAGAAGCAGTAGTATTAAATTACTTCTACTGCTTACTGTAACCAAGATGATTTCTCTGTGGGTGTCTCTGGCTCCTTCAGATTTCAGCCCAGTCATTTTCCTAACACATGTTTAAGGCAAACAGGGATCATTGTTTTGTTTAGCAAAAGCGCAGTTTATGAAGTTTTAGAAACATTTCTGTTTGTAACGCTGTATGAACAAAATGAGATGAAAGAAAAACGTTCTAATGGTACCGTGATCAGTAATTCTAACGGGTTCCCAAAATGTAATTTTTCTCAAGTTACTGTGATACGCATTGATTATAAAGCATAGCCACTCTTCTTTAAGAAGAGAGGTTTTAATGTATGAGTTTTTTGTGCATCGCTATAGATAGCTCTTAGTAAACAAAATGAACAACAAATTTCTGTTTCAGCAAGTGGCTCTGCTGGAAGGTAAATACAAGTTGTTAAACAATACCAATCACAAAACTAGATCAAATATAATATTCTCGGTCAATGTTATTAAATCCTGGAACTTCGGTAGAGACATCCACAGATTTAAATGACAGTTTGTGCAGCTAAAAACATAATCTGCGTATCTGTTACGTTTCAAAGGCTTTCCTTCCAATCATCTTTATTTGTATTTTTTGCTAGTCCCTTAGCTTGATTAAATTACATCGGAAACTGCTGTAGGTGCAAAGACATGAAGTGTTGGGTAGATGCAAACACATGAAGTGTTGGGTAGATGCAAACACACAACGATGAGGAGTGAGCATTTTTAGCGTTGAGCCCCTAAACAGGCTTCCCAATCCACGCATGAGCATCTAACCATCAAACCCGTATTTAGATGTGTTCAGCAACCAACATATTATAATCATAGTCTTTGCAAGCCAGAAATAACGCTACAACACCCCAAATTCTCCTGGTAGATATCAAAATGAGAACTCAGAATCAGACTTGGAGCACACAGATCTGATAATGCAACAATTTCCTATTTTTTCCTGTATAGGAAAAAGAAAATGCATGCATTCAGCACCTTATTAGGGGAAAACTGGTTAGCAACAATGGCAATATTACATTGTTTTTACCAGCTTTTCAGTAGAACTGGCCAAAGGCATAGAAGAGAAAAAAGGTTTCACTGAAAGGTTGAAATTTTCAGGAGTGTTGGCAAATTGAAAGCTGAAAATGCTGCAACAGGAAATCATAATATTTGATTTCTGAAAAAATCTGTTCCTGGTGGGTCCAGAGGGTCAGTGCTCCAGGGCATCCGTATCTGCTATGGGCCAACTAAGCCCTATCTTCCAGCGTGCAACACAACTGACTGCCTGTCTGGAAGGAAAATGGTGCACGAGAGCAACTCCTGGCCCTGATGCATCCTAGAAGTCTTAATTTAAAAAGGAGTCTCATCATCCATTTCACTTACAGAGAATGCAAGGTTGTTAATTTTTGCTCACCTTTTTTATTGGCTGCATAGGCCTTGAATTTTCAGGGCTGCTGAGCATGCAATTCTCATTTAAATCACTGGGAGCTGTGGACATGCGGCGTTTCTGAAAACGCGGCCATGGGTGCCAAAAGATGGGTATTCAAAAACAGGAGGGCCAAACTTTATCAGAGTTTCTTTGAAAATAGGATAGCTTTTTTTCATCAGAAAGCCAGAAGTGAGATATCCAAAGACAGGCTTCAGACAACAGGAATTCACAGGCCCTTATGCATCACGTTTATATGTATATAAAAAAAGGACTGCAGTGCAGTACAGAGCATGGCTGATTTTATGCTCCTTGCTAAATGAACAAGCCCCTATTAACTGCAGTGAGACCTTCACTGAAATAAGCGTTTAGCCTTATAATTTTTTCTTTCTTTTTTTAAGGTAAGATCTCACTGCTTTAAAGGATGTCCCAGGTCACAGAATGATTCCCAGTTTTATCTGTCCCAACCACACATATTAAATATGTGAGTGATAGAGGGCAGCTGCTGCTGTTTCTGCTGCTGGTGGCGGCTGCAAATCACACAAACCAACGCCTTCCTGTCCCTTGGGAGAGAAGTGAAGGTTCTGGTTTATAAGCAGTTAGAGAGAAAAAAAAAAAATCTACACCTTGCAGCAGACAGTGAGCCTGGGGCTGGTGGGGTGAGGAAGTTAATCAGCACCGAGCAGGCTGTTCGGGATGAGGCCAAACAGATGGCTCGTCTCTGAAACGGCAAAACGGGAAGCAGATGTGGCCACTGCTTCTCCCCATGCATAACTGGGAACCAGCCGGTTGGTGAGGAAATTTGCATAACAAGGATAATTTGGTATCAAAACTGTCCCTAGAAGTGATCTGAATGGATCTGGGCACAGTTGACAGTTTTCACTTCTTGTTTCCCACTCAGTGTTCAACCAGATTAAATTTTAATTTTGAACGCGCTGTTTGCCTGAGGTTGCTCTTTGCTATTTTCTAAGGAAAGCTATGATGCAGGCAGGGGCTTGTCAAGTCTGTACTGAAGCTTTCAGGACCAAAATCCTCATCTCCGTGAAGTCGATTACGATTTTAGTGGCTAATTTCAATGGGCCTGATTTTCAATACAAAGTCCATAATCTTCATGCCATCGTACGAACAAACCGTAACAGTGAATCTGAACTAATGCTATCCTTTTGAATGCACTGAATTTCACTGTGACTGGGCATGAGTTATGATACAGGCCTCGGGTAAAATCGTTTGTAAGCGCCTTACTATGAAGGACAAAGCCAAAAACCCCAAATGGACCAAGCAGCTCTCCCGCCGGCCCTGGCAGGCCAGGCAGCCTGCAGAGAGAGGCCCCCGGGATGCGGCATCAAGAACAGGGCACTCCTCCTTGCCTGTCAGAGCCTACTCGGCACGAGTGCTTCATGAAGATGGATTTGGCTGAAACTTTACCAGAAAACCTGGGGAAAAAATGTTTGTGGGCAGGTTAACACGCGTATATGATATACTACAAGCAGAGGAGTGTTTTTCCTTCTTGTCATCCTTTCTTTTTTCTTTAAAGGATGTAATAACATGTAGTATAGTTGACTGCAGCTTTTAGTTTATAGTATTCCTGTTGCATTGACAAGGACTAAAAATACTGCAGCCTTTATACTCATGTAAACTAAAATAGAGATTCAAAGAGCTCTTAAAATTTGGGGAAGTTCAGACCTGGATTCAAACATTATAGTTTTGTATCATTGAGAGTTATAGTATACAAATATGTACCTGCATCGTCCGATGGAGATTCCTGTGCATGTCAATGGGAGAGACTATAGGATCATCCTCCATTCGTGTTGGACAAACGGAAAAAGAAGAGGAATAAAAGCTTGCTGAAAAACATAGGTTAGTAGGCACTAATGGAAGCATTGTCATATAAATTTTACTCTAGATTTTTTAGCACAGCACATTTCGGATTTACCTCTCCACCTCAGAAGTCTTACTCTGGAACAGACATTCGTAAACTCTCATTTTTGCATTGCATCCAGTCACGAAATTCGTATGAATAGAGTCTAACACGATATATATAGTATTTTATTTGCATAGTCTGTAGTGAATGCACATGGGAAATGCACTGAACACGCTTACACATGTATGTAGGGGTTTTTTTTTTGGCCTCATTAAAAATTGGTGCAAATTAGAATGATT